TCATAACCCAACAGTAGAGGTAAGACTTGTGAGTGGGGTTCATAACCCAACTGCACAGGTGAGAAGGGTGAGTGGGGTTCAGAACCCAATTTGAGAGGTGAGACGGGTGAGTGGGGTTCAGAACCCAGCTGCAGACGTGAGACGAGTGAGTGTGGTTCAGAGCCCAGCTGTTAAGGTGAGACGGGTGAGTGGGTTTCAGAACCCAACTGTAGAGGTGAGATGGGTTAGTGGGGTTCAGAACACAATAGTAGAGGTGAGACAAGTTATTGGGGTTTTGAACACAAATGTAAAGGTGAGATGGGTGAGTGGGGTTCCGAACCCAACTGTTGAGGTGAGACAGGTGAGTGGCGTTGAGAACCCAAATGTTGAGGTGCAACGAGAAAGGGGGGTTTAAAACCCAACTTCAGAGGTGAGACGAGTGAGTGGGGTTCAGAACACAACTGCGGAGGTGAGACGGGTGAGTGGGGTTAGGAATCCAACTACACAGGTGAGACGGGTGAGTGGGGTTCAGAACCCAACTGCAGAGGTGCGACAGGTGAGTGGGGTTCAGAACCCAACTGGAGAGGTGAGACGGGTAGTGTGTTCTCAACCCAATTAATGAAATGAGATGGGTGAGTGGGTTTCAGAACCCATTATAGAGGTGAGACAGGTTAGTGGAGTTCAGAACCCAACCATTGAGGTATGACGGGTGAGTGGGATTCAGAACCCAACAGTAGAGGTGAGATGGGTGAGTGTGGTTCAGAACCCATCAGTAGAGGTGAGACGAGTTAGTGGGGTTCAGAACCCAACAGTAGAGGTGAGACGGGTGAATGGGGTTCATAACCCAAGAGTAGAGGTAAGACTTGTGAGTGGGGTTCATAACCCAACTGCACAGGTGAGAAGGGTGAGTGGGGTTCAGAACCCAATTTGAGAGGTGAGACGGGTGAGTGGGGTTCAGAACCCAGCTGCAGACGTGAGACGAGTGAGTGTGGTTCAGAGCCCAGCTGTTAAGGTGAGACGGGTGAGTGGGTTTCAGAACCCAACTGTAGAGGTGAGATGGGTTAGTGGGGTTCAGAACACAATAGTAGAGGTGAGACAAGTTATTGGGGTTTTGAACACAAATGTAAAGGTGAGATGGGTGAGTGGGGTTCCGAACCCAACTGTTGAGGTGAGACAGGTGAGTGGCGTTGAGAACCCAAATGTTGAGGTGCAACGAGAAAGGGGGGTTTTAAACCCAACTTCAGAGGTGAGACGAGTGAGTGGGGTTCAGAACACAACTGCGGAGGTGAGACGGGTGAGTGGGGTTAGGAATCCAACTACACAGGTGAGACGGGTGAGTGGGGTTCAGAACCCAACTGCAGAGGTGCGACAGGTGAGTGGGGTTCAGAACCCAACTGGAGAGGTGAGACGGGTAAGTGTGGTTCTCAACCCAATTAATGAAATGAGATGGGTGAGTGGGTTTCAGAACCCATTATAGAGGTGAGACAGGTTAGTGGAGTTCAGAACCCAACCATTGAGGTATGACGGGTGAGTGGGATTCAGAACCCAACAGTAGAGGTGAGACGGGTGAGTGGGGTTCAGAATACAACTGGAGAGGTGAGTCGGGTGAATGGGGTTCATAACTCAACAGTGGAGGTGAGACAATTGAGTGGGGTTCAGAACCCAACTTTTGAGGTGAGACGGATGATTGGGGTTGAGAACCCAACTGTAGAGGTGAGTCGGGTTAGTGGGGTTCAGAACCCAACAGTAGAGGTGAGACGCGTGAGTGGGGTTCAGAACCCAATTTGAGAGGTGAAACGGGTGAGTGGGGTTCAGAACCCAACTGCAGACGTGAGACGAGTGAGTGTGGTTCAGAGCCCAACTGTTGAGGTGAGACGGGTTAGTGGGGTTCAGAACACAACAGTAGAGATGAGACAAGTTATTGGGGTTTTGAACACAAATGTAAAGGTGAGATGGGTGAGTGGGGTTCCGAACCCAACTGTTGAGGTGAGACAGGTGAGTGGCGTTGAAAACCCAAATGTTGAGGTGAGACAAGAAAGGGGGGTTTAAAATCCAACTTCAGAGGTGAGACGGGTGAGTGGGGTTCAGAACACAACTGCGGAGGTGAGACGGGTGAGTGGGGTTCAGAACCCAAGTGCAGAGGTGCGACAGGTGAGTGGGGTTTAGAACCCAACTGGAGAGGTGAGACGGTTAAGTGTGGTTCTTAACCCAATTAATGAAATGAGATGGGTGAGTGGGTTTCAGATCCTAACTATAGAGGTGAGACAGGTTAGTTGAGTTCAGAACCCAACTATTGAGGTATGACGGGTGAGTGGGATTCAGAACCCAACAGTAGAGGTGAGACGGGTGAGTGGGGTTCAGAATACAACTGGAGAGGTGAGACGGGTGAATGGGCTTCATAACTCAACAGTAGAGGTGAGAGGACTGAGTGGGGTTCAGAACCCAACTATTGAGGTGAGACGGATGATTGGGGTTGAGAACCCAACTGTAGAGTTGAGTCGGGAGAGCGGGGATCAGAACCCAACAGTAGAGATGAGACCGGTTAGTTCTTTTCAGAACCCAACTGCAGAGGTGAGACGGATGATTGGGGTTGAGAACACAAGTGCAGGGGTGAGACAGGTTAGTGGGGTTAAGAACCCAACAGTAGAGGTGAGACAGGTTAGTGGGGTTCAGATCCCAAGTATAGAGGTGAGACGTGTGAGTGGGGTTCAGAACACAACTGTAAAAGTGAGACGGGTTTATGGGGTTCAGTACCCAACTGTTGAGGTGAGACGGGTGAGCGGGGTTTAGAACCCAATTGTAGAGGTGAGATGGGTGAGTGGGTTTGACAACCCAACTGTAGGGGTTAGACGGGTGTGTGGTGTTCAAAACCCAACTGCAGAGGTGAGACGAGTGAGCGGGATTCAAAACCCAACTGCAGAGGTGCGACGGGTGAGTGGGATTGAGATCCCAACTGGAGAGGTGAGACGGGAGAGTGGGGTTCAGAAACCAGCTGTTGGGGTGAGACGTGTGAGTGGGGTTCATAACCCAACAGTAGAGACAAGACGGGTTCGTGGGGTTCAGAACCCATTTCTAGAGGTGAGACAGGTGAGTGGGGTTCAGAAATCAACTGGAGAGGTGAGACGAGTGAGTGGGGTTCAGAACCCAACTGTAGAGGTGAGATGGGTGCGTGGGTTTCAGAACCCAACAGTTGAGGTGAGATGGGTTGGTGGGGTTCAGAACCCAACTATAGAGGTGAGACAGGTGAGTCTGGTTCAAAACCCAACTGGAGAGGTCAGACGGGTGAGTGGGGACCAGAACCCAACAGCTGAGGTGAGGCGGGTGAGTGGGGTTCAGAACCAAACTGCAAAGGTGAGACGGGTGAGGGGGATTCAGAACCCAACAGCAGAAGTGAGACGGGTAAGTGGGTTCAGAACCCAATTGTAGAGGTGAGACGGGTTAGTGGGGTTCAGAACGCAACTGTTGAGGTCAGACAGGTGATTGGGGTCTAGAACCCAACTGCAGAGGTGAGACGAGTGAGTGGGATTGAAAACCCAACTACAGAGGTGCGACGGGTGAGTGGGGTTCAGAACCCAACTTCAGAGATGAGACGGGTGAGTGACGTTCAGAACCCAACTGCAGAAGTGAAACGGGAGAGTGGGGTTTCAAAACCCAACAGTAGAGGTGAGACGCTTTAGTGGGGTTTAGAACCCAACTGCAAAAGGGAAACGGGTGAGTGGGGTCAAGAACCCAACAATAGAGGTGAAACAGGTGAGTGGGGTTCAGAAACCAGCAGTAGAGGTGAGACGGGTGAGTGGGGTTCAGAATCCAATGGTAGAGGTGAGACGGGTAAGTGTGGTTCTTAACCCAATTAATGAAATGAGATGGGTGAGTGGGTTTCAGAACCCAAATATCGAGGTGAGACAGGTTAGTGGAGTTCATAACCCAACTATTGAGGTATGACGGGTGAGTGGGATTCAAAACCCAACTGTAGAGGTGAGTCGGGGGAGTGGGGTTCAGAACGCAACAGTAGAGAATAGACGGGTTAGTTGGTTTCAGAACCCAACAGTTGAGGTGAGACGGGTGAGTGGTGCTCAAAACCCAAGTGTTGAGGTGCGACGAGAATGGGGGTTTCAAAACCCAACTGCAGAGGTCAAACGATTGAGTGGGGTTGAAAACCCAACTGCAGAGGTTAGACAAGTGAGTGGGATTCAAAACCCAATTGCAGAGGTGAGACAGGTGAGTGGGGTTCAGATACCAACTGCAAAAGTTATACAGGTGAGTGGGGTTCCGAACCCAACAGTAGAGGTGAGATGGGTGAGTGTGGTTCAGAACCCAACAGTAGAGGTGAGATGGGTGAGTGGGGTTTATAACCCAACTGTAGAGGTGAGACGGGTTACTGGGGTTCAGAACCCAAGTGTAGGGGTGAGACGGGTTAGTGGGGTTTGGAACCCAACTGCAGAAGTGAGACGGGTATGTGGGTTCAGAACCCAACTGTAGAGGTGAGACGGGTGGGTGGGCTTCAAAACCCAACTGCATAGGTGCGATGAGTGAGTGGGGATCACAACCCAACTTGAGTGGTGAGACGGGTGAATGGGGTTCAGAACCCAACTATTGGGGTAAGACGGGTGAGTGGGGTTCAGAAGCCAACTGTAGAGGTGAGACGGGTTAGTGGGGTTCAGAACCCATCTGTAGAGGTGAGACGGGTTAGTGGGGTTCAGAATCCAACGGTAGAGGTGAGACGAGTAAGTGGGGTTCAGAACCTTACTGTAGGGGTTAGATAAGTGAGTGGGGTTAAGAACCCAAATGCAGAGGTGAGACGAGTGAGTGGGGTTCAAAGCCCAACAGCAGAGGTGAGACGCGTGAGTGGGGTCCAGAATCCAACAGTAAAGGTGAGACGGGTTAGTGGGGTTCAGAACTTAACTGCAGAAGTGAAACATGTGAGTGGGGTTAAGAATCCAACGGTAGAGGTGGGACGAGATGTTGTGTGATGTCATCATATGCTATCACATTCTGTCTGCCTCCCATCTCTTGTTTCAATTCGTATGTATGGTTTGACTGTGTGTGAAAGAATTTGTGTGGTGTGTTCTGGAGTTTGGGAATGTGTTTTGTGTTATTTTTGTTTGAGCAGGTATTTGTGATGATAGATCTTGAGAAGATCTTTCCGACGCAACAAGAATCGCTTCAATCGGAGCAAGAACGCGAAAGCTATGAAGATTCAAAGTTCATGAGCTTGCGTTACAATTGCGGCGGTTACAAAGTGAAGTTGTGGGGTGACTTTATATGGAGTTGGGACCTTTGGGGGTTGGGGAAATTTGTCACTCTACTGTAACAGCTGCAAATTGGTTGGGAACAACCAAGCTAGGTTGGCAAGGGTGGCCAACTTGGATGGATTGGTTGGGAAGGGACAAATGTCAAAATTGGGGTTCCTATAGGGAGGGAATCTTTGTGCTTATGGGGTTTCCTTGGTTAGGGACTCTCTTGGGACCTTCCCTCTCGTCCCTCTCTTTCTATCCCAACCTTTCTCTTGCTCCTCTAATTTCTTGTGAGATTCTTGAACTTTGATTGAACTCTTGAGATTGAGTTAAGTTCTCCTCCTACAGCTTACCCCCTAGTGCGTCGAAAGCCATAGCGTCGCGAATACTTCATCAATCAACATGATTCAAATGGGGAACGGTAGCTGAGATTAAGAGCTACAAAATATCCAAGTTTCGCGACATTCTAACAGCTAGTTTTTCGTCGACGTCGTTTCTTGTGAAGACGACTTTTCTGTCCAGAATTTCGGATTTAAATTTTGAGTAATTCTAGCTCCTAAGTTCACCTAGACTTCGTCCTTAATCCTAACACAAGAAAGTGGGGTTCATAACCTAACTGTAAGAGTGAGACAGGTGAGTGGGGTTAAAATCCCAACTGCAGAGGTGAGACGCGTGAGTGGGGTTCAAAACCCAACTGCAGAGGTGAGACGTGCGACTGGGGTTCTTAACCAAACAGTAGAGGTGAGACGAGTTAGTGAGGTTCAGAACCCAACAGTAGAGCTGAGACGGGTGAGTGGGGTTTAGAACCCAACAGTAGAGGTGAGACTTGTTAGTGGGTTTCATAACCCAACTGAAGACGTGAGACGGGTGAGTGGGGTTCAGAACCCAACTAGAGAGGTGAGACGGGTGAGTGGGGTTAAGAACCCAAGTACAGAGGTGAGACAGGTGAGTCGGTTTCAGAACCCAACAGTCGAGGTGAGACGGGTTAGTAGGGTTCAGAACCCAACTGTTGAGGTGAGACGGGTGAGCGGGGTTCAGAACCCAACTGTAGGGGTGAGACGGGTGAGTGGTGTTCAAAACCCAACTGCATAGGTGCAACGAGGGAGTGGGGATCAAAACCCAACTGTAGAGGTGAGACGTTTTAGTGGGGTTCAGAACCCAACTGTAGAGGTAAGACGGGTTAGTGGGGTTCAGAATCCAACAGTAGAGGTGAGTCGAGTAAGTGGGGTTCAGAACCTAACTGTAGGGGTTAGATGGGTGAGTCGGGTTAAGAACCCAAATGCTAGGTGATGATGCGGAAGATGAAAGCGAGGAGTGCGCTTTTGCCTTCTTCTCTCCGGTGGAGATACCGGGAGAGCCTACAAATCCCAAGGAGGCTTGGGAGGGCCCCAATGGGAAGGAGTGGAAGAAGGCCTCAGATGAAGAAATGGGGAGCATCATCGAGAACGACACGTTTGACTTGGTGAACCTACCTCCGGGGCGTAAGGCGATTTCTTCCAAATGGCTCTTCAAGCGCAAGACCGACGCCGACGGCAACATTGAGCGCTACAAGAGCAGACTTGTAGCCAAGGGGTACCAGCAGCAGGAGAAGAAGGACTACAATGAAGTGTATGCCCCTGTGGTGAAGGGTACAACCCTTCGAACCCTCTTCGCCGCGGCGGCCATCAAAGGATGGGTGGTGAAGCAAATGGATATAATAACGGCCTTCCTCAACGGCGTTTTGGAGGAAGAGACCTTCATGGAGCAGCCAGAGGGGTACACTGATGGGAGTGGCAGAGTGTGGAAGCTGAAGAAAGCACTCTATGGCCTCAAGCAAGCCCCAAGCAATGGTACATCAAGCTGCGGAAAGTCTTGGAGACGATCGGCTTCACTCCCTCAACGGCCGATCAATCATTGTTCATGCTTGGCGAGGGGGAGCAGAGGAGATTCATGGTGGTTTATGTGGATGACATTCTCATATTCTCACCCTCCTCTGATCTTGTGAAGGAGGTGATGCTGAAGCTTCAAGACAAGTTCAAGTGCAAGACCCTTGGTGACGTCAACTACTACCTTGGGCTTCACATTGAGCGAGACGTGGAGAAGCGGTGGATGCGAGTGCATCAAAAGAAGTACTTGGAGGCCTTGGCTGCAAACTTTGGGAAGAGTGAAGGTCATGTGGCTACTCCTCTTCCCTCAGGGTTCAAGTGTGTGAAAGGACCAGCGGAGGAAAGTGTTGGTGAAGAGGAGAGGCGGCGTTTTCACTCCTTGGTGGGCAGCCTCATGTATGCGGCCGTTCACACAAGGCCGGATGCAGCCTTTGCTACCGGGCAGCTGGCTAGGGTTGTCCAATGCCCTAATGAAGAGCAGGTAGCAGCTGGAGAGAGGGTGGCCAAGTACCTTGGCCAAACAGCAACTGTTGGACTGCAATACTCCGCGGCGGCACAAAGGCGTCAAAAGGGTGCGGATGGAGTCGAACCCGGGAGGCTCTTTCTCACCGCCTTCTCTGATGCATCTTGGGCATCAGAACCAGAGGACATGACAAGTATGGGAGGCTTCATCTGCTGTGTTGATGGAGGCCCAACAGCTTGGGAGAGCAAGAAACAAGTGGAGCAAGCATTGAGCTCGGTGGAGTCCGAGTACATGGCACTCTTCCGTGCCATAAGAGGGGTTGTGTGGCAGCGGCGTTTGCTAGCTGAATTGGGGGAGGAGCAGCAAGGACCTACCCCACTCTACTGTGATAGCCAGGGTGCTATTGCATTGGCCAAGAACCCCGTTCTTCATGGCCTTACCAAGCACATGAAGGTGAAGTGGCATTGGGTGAGGAGCATGGTAACCGCGGGTGAAGTGGAGTTGCACTACGTGAAGACGACGGCGCAGCCTGCTGATATGATGACCAAGAGGCTGGTTGAGCAGCAGCATTGGAAGTGTTGCAAGCTTGCTGGGATGGCTCTGAACCAAGGGGAGCAGATTCTAAGGCCAACAATCCGAGGGGGAGTTTGTTGGTGCAACCCTATGGCTTGCACTCGGCTTGTCGTCCTTGTTTGTGTGTGTGCATGCATGGCATGGAATGAATTGTGAGTCTATGTCATTGCTATCCAGTGCTTGTGTGTGTGTTTGAATGGTGTATCACAATGTGGTTTGTGTCGGTCAAGACATTAGCGAGTTTTTACAACTCGCATGTCAAGTCGTCGTTTGTGTGTCGCATGTGTTTTTTCTATTTTGTCGAGTGTGAAGTGTCCATCGTGTCGCAGGTGTGTGCAGCAAGCCCCCATCAACTCAAGAAGAATTTATCTTGCAGATCCAAGAACAAGAGCTCAAGATTTCAAGCCCAAGGGACGCGGATAAATATTAAATAGTGAAAATAGTAACGTTACTTCGTGTAGTGTTACATTTCATTTGGTGTAGCCCCTTGGAGGGTTGGTTTCGAGACTCTTCATGGTTGGGGACTCTGTGGTGGTGTACCACCAATCTGGACCTCGGCTCTTGGGGTATGTAGAGGCTGGGAACCATCTCCCTCTCGAACTCTTCTTGCTAAGTTTGTACTTCCAAGACTATAGTGGCTGCTATACCTCCTGCCAGTCAAACCGCCATAGCGTCGTCAAATGTTTATGGAATTTCATGATTCAACTTGCTGCTGATAGACGACAGCAACGCGCTCCATATCCAATTTACATATCACCGTTTAATTACGCGACCAGATCGTTATCAATATTTGAATCCGTCTGACGGAAATCCGACTGTGCTCTCTATCTCTCATTATAGGCACATCTAAGCCTATTGTGATTATAACAGGGTGAGTGGGGTTCATTACCCAACTAGAGAGGTGAGATGGGTGAGTGGTCTTCAGAACCCAACCATTGAGGTGAGTCGGGTGAGTGGGGTTCAGAACCCAAGTGCAGAACTGATACAGGTGAGTGGGGTTCATAACCTAACTGCAGAGGTGAGACGGATGAGTGGGGTTCAGAACCAAACTTTAGAGGTGAGACAGGAGAGTGCGGTTCAGTAACCTAATGTAGGGATCAGTCGAGTAAGTGGGGTTCATAACCCAACTGTTGAGGTGAGACGGGTTAATGGGGTTCAGAATCCAACTATTGAGGTGAGACGGGTTAATGGGGTTCAGAATCCAACTATTGAGGTGAGACGGGTGAGTGGGGTTCAGAACCCAACAATTGAGTTGAGACGGGTGAGTGGAGTTCAAAACCCAGCTGTAAAGGTGAGACGGGAGAGTGGGGTTCAGAACCCAACTATAGGTGTGAGACGGGTGAGTGGTGTTAAAAATCCAACTGCATAGGTGCGACGACTGAGTGGGGTTCAAAACCCAACTGCAGAGATGAGACGGGTGAGTGGGGTTCACAACCCAACTGCAGAAGTGATACAGGTGAGTGGGGTTCAGAACCCAACAGTAGAGGTGAGATGGGGTTAGTGGGGTAATGAACCCAACTATTGAGGTGCGAGGGGTTAATGGGGTTGAGAACCCAACTATTGAGTTGAGAAGGGTAAGTGGAGTTCAGAACCCAACTGTATAGGTCACATTGGTGAGTGGGGTTTAGATACCAACTATAGAGGTGAGACGGGTGAGTGGGGTTGAGAACCCAACTATTGAGGTGAGAAGGGTGAGTGGGGTTCTTGAAGCCAACTGGAGAGGTGAGTCGGGTGAGTGTGGCTCAGAACCCAACTCAAGGGGTGAGAAGGGTGAGTGGGGTTCAGAACCCAACTGCAGAGATGAGACGGGTGAGTGGGGTTCACAACCCAACTGTAAGGCGAGTGAGGATGAGGAGTTCGGGTCCCTGATTGAAAACGAGACATGGGACCTGTGTGACTTGCCTCCTGGGAAGAAGGCAATCACTTCCAAGATGATCTACAGGCACAAGTATGGACCTGAAGGGGAGCTGACCCGCTACAAGTCTAGGCTTGTGGCAAGGGGGTTTCAGCAGACAAAAGGGAAGGACTATGATGAGGTGTTTGCTCCTGTGGGGAAAGGAACAACACTGAGGGTGCTGTTGGCGATAGCTGCACTCCTGGGATGGAAGATACGGCAGATGGACATTGTGACTGCTTTTCTGAATGGGATCATTATGGAGGAGGTGTACATGAAGCAGCCAGAGGGGCTGGATGACGGGAGCGGCAGGGTCTGCAGGCTGAAGAAGGCCATCTATGGCCTTAAGCAGGCGCCTCGTGCATGGTATCACAAGTTGGAGGAGGCGCTGTTGGCTGGGGGTTTCAAGAAGAGTGAGTGTGACCCCAGCCTGTTCCTGCTGCAGGAGAAGGACGAAATCCTCATGCTCTTGGTGTATATGGATGATATCCTTCTCTTTTCTGCATCCACTGCTTTGCTGGACAGCGCAGAGCAGATGCTGGAGATGCAGTTCAAGTGCTCCAAGATGGGTGAGGTGAAGTACTACTTGGGGATGCACGTGGAGAGAGATGTGGAAAAGGGTGTGCTGAGGTTGCACCAGAGGAAGTACTGTGAGGGGCTGGCTGAGAAGTATGGGCTGCAAGATGGGGGAAAGCCAGCAACACCACTACCTTCAGGGTTTACTGTGGAGCCATGTGCTGATGAGGAGGTAGTGGGTGATAGTGACAGGAAGCTGTTTCATTCGATGGTTGGGTCGCTGAATTATGCTGCAAATCATACACGGCCTGACATTGCATTTGCTACATCACGATTGGCTAGTGTGGTCTCACGCCCTAGTCATGAGCAGCTGGAAGCGGCCAAGAGGTTGGTCCGCTATGTGAGCGCTACGGCATCAGTGGGATTGGAGTACAGTGGAGTGAGGCAGCGGTTGCAGAGAGGTGCTGCAGATGTGAAGAGTGGAGAGATGCTCTTGAGTTGCTATACTGACGCTAGCTTCAACTCAGTGAAAGCGGATGGCACCAGCATTGGGGGTTATGTGTGCTTGCTAGGAGGTGGTGCTGTGAGCTGGCGCAGCAAGAAGCAGAATGAGGTGGGATTGTCTTCATGTGAGACTGAGTACATGGCCTTACACCATGGGGCCAAGGAAGTGGTATGGCTGAGGCGTTTGTTGGAGGAGTTGGGAGTTGGTCAGGAGGAGCCGACAGTTGTGTTCTGTGACAATGAGTCTGCAGTGAAGCTGGCCAAGAATGCTTGTCTGCATGGGCTGACAAAACACATAAGGCCTAAGTGGCATTGGGTGAGGAGAATCCTTGATAAGGAGGTGCGGCTGGAGATAGTGAAGACCCATCAGCAGGCAGCAGATATTTTCACTAAGCGTCTTGCGGAGGCGGATCATTGGAAGGGCATGAAGCTTGCTGGGATGAGTGTGCATTGAGTATGCATGCTTGAGATGTGGTATGGTCGATGATGGTTGGCAGCCAGAGGGGGAGATTGTTGTGTGATGTCATCATATGCTATCACATTCTGTCTGCCTCCCATCCCATGTTTTTTCAACTTGCATGTGTGGTTTGAATGTGCAAGCATTTGTGTGTGGTGTGTTCTGGAGTTTGGGAATGTGTTTTGTGTTATTCTGTCTGAGCAGGTATTTGTGATAATAGATCTTGAGAAGATCTTTCCGACGCAACAAGAATCGCTTCAATCGGAGCAAGAACGCGAAAGCTATGAAGATTCAAAGTTCATGAGCTTGCGTTACAATTGCGGCGGTTACTAAGTGAAGTTGTGGGGTGACTTTATATGGAGTTGGGACCTTTGGGGTTGGGGAAACTTGTCACTCTACTGTAACAGCTGCAAATTGGTTGGGAACAACCAAGCTAGGTTGGCAAGGGTGGCCAACTTGGATGGATTGGTTGGGAAGGGACAAATGTCAAAGTTGGGGTTCCTATAGGGAGGGAATCTTTGTGCTTATGGGGTTTCCTTGGTTGGGGACTCTCTTGGGACCTTCCCTCTCATCCCTCTCTTCCTATCCCAACCTTTCTCTTGCTCCTCTAATTCCTTGTGAGATTCTTGAACTTTGATTGAACCTTTGAGATTGAGTTAAGTTCTCCTCCTACAGCTTACCCCCTAGTGCGTCGAAAGCCATAGCGTCGCGAATACTTTATCAATCAACATGATTCAAATTGGGAACGGTAGCTGAGCTTAAGAGCTACAACATATCCAAGTTTCGCGACATTCCAACGGCTAGTTGTTTGTCGACGTCGTTTCTTGTGAAGACGACTTTTCTGTCCAGAATTTCGGATTTATATTTTGAGTAATTCTAGCTCCTAAGTTCACCTAGACTCCGTCCTTAATCCTAACACTATTGAGGTGAGAAGGGTGAGTGGGGTTCTTGAAGCCAACTGGAGAGGTGAGTCGGGTGAGTGTGGCTCAGAACCCAACTCAAGGGGTGAGAAGGGTGAGTGGGGTTCAGAACCCAACTGCAGAGATGAGACGGGTGAGTGGGGTTCACAACCCAACTGCAGAGGTGAAACGGGTGAGTGGGGTTCAGAACCCAACTGCAGAAGTGAAACGGGTGAGTGGGGTTCAGAACCCAACTGGAGAGGTGAGACGGGTAAGTCGTTTTGAGAACCCAACTATAGAGGTGAGAAAGGTGAGTGGGTTACAGAACCCAACAGTAGAGGTGAAACGGATTAGTGGGGTTCGGAACCCAACTGCTGAGGTGAGATGGGTGAGTGGGGTTAAGCACCCAACTGGAAAGGTGAGACGCGTGACCGGGGTTCAAAACCCAACTATAGAGGTGACGCGGGTGAGTGGGGTTCAAAACCCAACTGCAGAGGTGCGACGGGTGAGTGTGGTTCAGAACCCAACTGCAGAACTGAAACGGGTGAGTGGGGTCAGAACCCAACAGTAGAGTTGAGACGGGTAAGAGGGGTTCAGAATCCAACTACTGAGGTGAGACGGGTGAGTGGGGTTCAGAACCCAACAGTAGAGGTGAGACGGCTGAGTGGGGTTTAGAACCCAACTGCTGAGGAGAGACAGGTGATTGCCGTTCAGAACCCAATAGTAGAGGTGAGATGGGTGAGTGGGGTTCAGAACCCAACTGTAGAGGTGAGACGGGTGAGTGGGGTTTAGAACCCAATTGTAGAGGTGAGACGGGTAAGTGGGGTTCAGATCCCAACAGTAGAGGTGAGACGGGTAAGTGGGGTTAAGAACCAAACAGACGAGGTGAGAAAAGTTAGTGGGGTTCAGAACCCAACTATTGAGGTGAGACAGGTGATTTGGGTTCAGAACCCAACTGTAGACATGAGACGGGTTAGTGGGGATTAGAACACAACTATTGAGGAGAGACGGGTGAGTGTGGTTCAGAACCCAAGTGTAGAGGTGAGATAGGTGAGTAGGGCTCACAACCCAACTGTAGAGTTGAGACGGGAGATCGGGGTTGAGAAGCCAGCAGTAGGGGTGAGACGGGTGAGTGGGGTTCAGAACCCAACAATAGAGGTAAGCCGGGTTAGTGGGATTCAGAACCCAACTGGAGAGGTGAGACGGGTGAGTGGGGCTCAGAACCCAACTCTCGAGGTGAGACGGGTGAGTGGGGTTCAGAACCCAGCTGGAGAGGTTAGATGGGGGAGTGGGGTTCACAACCCAACTGCAGAGATGAGACGGGTAGATGGGGTCCAAAACGAAAGTGTAGGTGTGAGACGGGTGAGTGGGCTTCAGAGTCCAACTGTAGAGGTGAGACGGGTTAGTGGGGTTTTGAAACCATCTGCAGAGGAGAGACGGGTGATTGGGGTTCAGAACCCCACCCACCCCACTCTCTCGACTAACCTCCGCACATGCATTCTGAAACCCACTCACCGGTCTCACCTCTGCAGTTGGGTTTTGAACCCCACTCAGTCGTCTCACTTCTGATGTTGGGTTTTGAACCCCCTTTCTCGTCTCACCTCAACATTTGGGTTCTCAACACCACTCACCTGTCTGAGCTCAACAGTTGGGTTTGGAACCCCACTCACCAATCTTACCTTTACAGTTGTGTTCTCACCTCTACTGTTGGCTTATGATCCCCACTCACCCGACTTACCTTTGAAGCTGGATCCTGAACCCCAAACACATGTCTCACCTCAACAGTTTGGTTCTGTACCCCACTTACTTGTCTCAGTTTTGCAGTTGGCTTCTGAACCCCACTCACCCGTCTAACCTCTCCAGCTGGGTTATGAACCCCACTCACCCGTCTCACCTCGATAGTTGGGTTCTGAGCCCCACTCACCCGTCTTGCCTCTACTATTGGGTTCTGAAACCCATTCACTCGTCTCATCTCAACAGTTGTGATTTTAGCCCCACTCACCCGTCTCACCTCTACTGTTGGGTTTATAAAACCACTCACCTGTCTCACCTCAATAGTTGGGTTCTAAACCACACTCACTCGCCTCACCTCTGCAGTTTGGTTCTGAACCCCACTCACCCGTCTCACCTCTCCTGTTTGGGTTCTGAACTCCACCCACCCGTCTTACCTCAATAGTTGGGTTCAGAACCCCACTAACCCGTCTCACCTCTAGTGTTGGGTTCTGAAAACCACTCACCTGTCTCACCTCTCCAGTTGGGTTCTGAACCCCACTCACCCGTCACACCTCAGCAGTTGGGTTCGGAACCCCACTCACCCGTATCACATCCGAAGTTTTGTTCTGAACCCCGCTTACCCATCTCACCTCAACAGTTGGGTTCTGAACCGCACTCACCCGTCTCAATTCTACAGTTGGGTTCCGAACCGCGCTCACCCGTCTCGCCTCTAAAGTTCGGTTGTGAACCCCAATCATCCGTCTCACCTCTGAAGTTGGGTTCTTAACCCCACTCACCCGTCTCACCTCGATATTTGGGTTCGGAAACCCACTCACCAATTTCACCTCTAGAGTTGTGTTTTGAACCCCAACAACCTGTCTCACCTCTACCATTGGGTTCTGAACCCTTCTCACCCGTCTTACATCTGAAGTTGGGTTCTGAACCCCACTCACTTGTCTCTCCTCAACAATTTGGTTCTGAAATCCAGTAAGCTGTCTCACCTGTACAATTGGGATCTGAACCCCACTCACCCGTCTCACCTCTGAAGTTGGGTTCTGAACCCCACCCACCCCACTCACTCGTCTAACCTCCGCAGTTGCATTCTGAACCCCAGTCACCCGTCTAACCTCTCCAATTGGGTTTTAAACCCCACTCACTCTTCTCAACTCAACAGTTGCGTTCAGAACTCCACTCACCTGTCTCACCTCTACTGTTGGGTTCTAAACCCCACTCACTCGCCTCACCTCTGCAGTTTGGTTCTGAACCCCACTCACCCGTCTCACCTCTCTAGTTGGGTTCTGAACTCCACCCACCCGTCTTACCTCAATAGTTGGGTTCAGAACCCCACTAACCCGTCTCACCTCTAGTGTTGGGTTCTGAAAACCACTCACCCGTCTCACCTCTCCAGTTGGGTTCTGAACCCCACTCACCCGTCGCACCTCAGCAGTTGGGTTCGGAACCCCACTCACCCGTATCACATCTGAAGTTGTGTTCTGAACCCCGCTTACCCATCTCACCTGAACAGTTGGGTTCTGAACCCCACTCACCCGTCTCAATTCTACAGTTGGGTTCCAAACCGCACTCACCCGTCTCACCTCTAAAGTTCGGTTGTGAACCCCAATCATCCGTCTCACCTCTGAAGTTGGGTTCTTAACCCCACTCACCCGTCTCACCTCGACAGTTGGGTTCGGAAACCCACTCACCAATTTCACCTCTACAGTTGTGTTTTGAACCCCAACAACCTGTCTCACCTCTACCATTGGGTTCTGAACCCTTCTCACCCGTCTTACATCTGAAGTTGGGTTCTGAACCCCACTCACTTGTCTCTCCTCAACAATTTGGTTCTGAAATCCAGTAAGCTGTCTCACCTGTACAATTGGGATCTGAACCCCACTCACCCGTCTCACCTCTGAAGTTGGGTTCTGAACCCCACCCACCCCACTCACTCGTCTAACCTCCGCAGTTGCATTCTAAACCCCGGTCACCCATCTAACCTCTCCAATTGGGTTTTAAACCCCACTCACTCTTCTCAACTCAACAGTTGCGTTCAGAACTCCACTCACCTGTCTCACCTCTACTGTTTGGTTCTAAACCCCACTCACGCGTCTCACCTCTGCAGTTGGGTTTTGAACCCCACTGACCCGTCTGGCCTCTCCTGTTGGGTTCTGAACCCCACTCACCCGTCTCACCTCTACTGTTGGGTTCTAAACCACACTCACCCATCTCACCTCTGCAGTTTGGGTCTGAACCCACTCCCCCGTCTCACTTCTACTGTTAGGTTATGAACCCCTCTTACCCGTCTCACCTCTACAGTTGGGTACTGAACCCCACTCACTTGTCTCATCTCTACACTGGGGTTCCGAACCCCACCCACTTGCTCTCCTCTACAGTTGGGTTCTGAACTCAACTCACCTGTCTCACCTCTCAAGTTGGGTCCTAAACCCCACTCACCCGTCTCTTCTCATTAGTTGGGTTCTGAACCCCACTCACTCGTCTGACCTCTGCAGTTGGGTTCTGAAGCCCACTCACCCGTCTCACCTCTACTGTTGGGTTCTTTACTCCACTCACCTGACTCACTTCTGCAGTTGGGTTATGAACCCCACTCACTCGTCTCACCTTAACAGTTTGGTTCTGAACACCACTCACCCGTCACACCTGAACAATTGGCTTTTGAACCCCACTCACCCGTCTCACCTCTGCAGTTGGGTTCTGAACCACACTCACCCGACTCACCTCTCTAGTTCGGATCTCAACCCCACTCAACCATCTCACCTCTCCAGTTGGGTTCTGAACCCCACTCACCCGTCTCACCTCTCCAGCTGGGTTCTGAACCCCACTCATCCGTCTTACCTCTACTGTTGGGTTCTGAACCACACTCACCCATCTCACCTCTACAATTGGTTTTTGTAAGCCACTCATCCGTCTCACTTCTACTGTTGGGTTCTGAACCCCACTCACCCGTCTCACCTCTCTAGTTTTGATCTGAACCCCACTAACCCATCTCACCTCAACAAATGG